AATGGAAAAAGAAAACAGATAAAAATATAGTTGAGAAGTGCTACATTTTGAATCTTCTTCCATTCAATACGGTAAATTCTTAGCAAGTTCCGAAAACTGCATGGTAAGCAGTACAATTTATGCGTAATTTTAGTTTTTTGAAGAACTTGCAAATTGCTTGAAAATATGTAACATTGTAGGAATTTCTTAAAAATAATCTACAAAATTCTGAAAACTTTGCTTGAATTTCAAGTTCGTTAAACATCCAACGAAAAAGTTTATTGTCAATTTAATTCCTCAAATTTTGGAACATTTTTAAGAATGAATGATTTAAGACAGTAAATGAAATTTCTGGACTATCATATACAACTATGACACTTTTAATGCCATTTGTACCCGAATTTATACAATACAGCCTGATACAGATTTGTCACAAATAATTTTTTACGAACTTTCAAAGTATCAGAAAAGAGATAACAGTGTGATTTATCTGAATTTATCAAAATGTGTCTTCTAAAATCATACTTTAAAGAAAATATAGAATATAAAGCAAAAAGGGAGTAGTTTCATGTTTTTGTTCAGCCAATTTTAGGAGCTTGCAAAAATCAATTTTATGGTTTATTACAAAATGATTACATAACTTTAAAATTAAAGTGCTGTCAAAACCAAATATTACTTCTAGAATCATGCAGTTATAATCAGAAATAAAAGCAAATGAAAGATCAAAAAAATCAAAATGTGATCGCTAACTGTTATCTATTTGCAATCCATAAGAATTGTTTAATATTCGTTATTGAGAAATGCCAAATTTTTATTGACTAAAGCATAATTTTTATGAGAAGTTGAAGTTACGTTTGTGAAAGTTATAGTTATATTTTTATTCAAATTTTCATGCAAAAGCATTTTCTTTAAATTTTCACTGCGTTTTCCAAATTTTTACGCACTCATAGCTGAAAATTGTGATTCCCGTAGTAAAGTATTTAAGATAAAATAAGAACTAACCTCTAAAGTTGTTTTGCCAGCTTTCTTCGACCAAATAAACTGTTAGAATAATGTAAAACTACGCAGAAAATTTCTGCTGCTGATATGTACAACGTTAAATAATCTGAAAGTAATGATCGTAATTAATGATGTCAAATGTTCAAAAGTAATTTTAATTTCTTTGGAATTTGTTGATGGAAAGAGCTTGGAAAAGATATGTCAGAAAATTTTCTAGCAACAAAAGTTGAAAATATTTCAATTAAGAGCAGTAACACTAACTTCAAATGCAGTTTCATCGCAAACAAATTTCAATCATTTACAACTAAAGTATGTGCAATCAATATAATATATGATCCTATGGAGCTAAATTGCAGAACTGAACATATTATTATTAAGTAAATAATAAGATGAAATAATCATATGCATCAAATTAATTTTTTAATGCACAAAATCTACAAAATCCCATTTAAATATGGAAAAGATCTTCAATATTTTGACAACATTATCCTTTTCTGATAGATTATCGCCTTTCGTCTTGTTTTGATTTATTCAGAATTGATTACCAATATGAATGAATCACTCAGTTATAAAAGCAGTATATGTGGCTGATTCAGTGATTCAGGTAGCAAATTATAGAAGTTGTGCTTTCAACCTCGCATTAATCAGAATTAAATTAATTTCTACTTTGGCTTTGAATTATATAAAATTGATGAGGGAGAAATAATATGAAGTTCATTTAATAGGAAAATGAAATTTCGATATATATGTATATATATCGAAAATACGAGATTTTTTGAGGTAAAATTTTTGACCTGAAAAACTGAGTGTTATGAATATGTAGTAATATGGTCTGAATCAATTAATCTGGTAGTGTATGTCATGCCTGTGTGACAAAAGATGTCAACAATGTATATTAATAAGGGAAAAAGTGATGATCAAAAAGTGAAATGGGAGTAATTTTCATTTATTAATCGCAGATTTCATGACCTTGCATTACTTACTTCACATTCACATTTATGAATCTTAATACGCACAAATTAAGCAAGATTGAAACTTACATTTAAATTATATCGTTGCAATGAACCATATACTCGACAATTGTGAAAAGTGAGCATTGCGGCAGTAAACATTTACACTTTTTAGACTGCTTGCTTGCTGTCCTGGGATGAACACTGATAGCAGAGAGAAGGAAGGATTTACGAGCGATAACGATATTTGATTCTGGTAGTGATGTGAGGAACGAGTTGAAAGTTCATTAGAGCATATATTTCGAGAAAAATTTCAAACAGCCGTAAAGTGTGAAATTACAACTTGCTTTCTATTCCCTGAGCAAAAGTTTTTCGAGTTCTGCTTTCTACGATGCATTTTAGAAAATGCATCTTTTCACTACATACGCATTAATTAATTAATTAATTTATTTATTAATTCATTCATACATTCCTTGCCAATTTTGTTTCTCGGTCAATGCTCCATGTTTCACTTTTCCATTACAGTTCCTTCTTTTCACTATACAACCAGAGCTTTGAGCGCCATATACTACGTAATTTTTTTCAATTTATTGCACTGCATCTCCTTGGCTTTCTCTCTCAACAATCCTCCATTCAATTATATAAATTAACTTCCTCAAAAAATACCAAACTTTATAATCATTCAAGCTTAACTTTTTATTGTAAATCGTCTTCGGGAAAAAATCGTCTTTGGAAAAAATATATATACCTAATCTTATGTAATATCTAATCTTTGCAGTTTTGGTTCAGAGCAATTCTAGTAGTCTCATCTCCTAGAAAAAAGTTAAGCTTGAAGTTTATGATGAATAACTACCTGTACCGAAGACTGCGAATTTTTGTTACTAACAAACGATTTACATAACAGAAATCCATAACGATCAAATACGTGGATATTGATGAGCCAGCAGATAATGGGTATGTAAGCCTATCTCGCTAATTTATCATACGAATGTTACTATCATCTCATTTAAAAAATCAGTACTACTAACAGCACTTATAAATCAATGAATGGATGACTGAACGCTTAATGATGACCTGCGTACAAGTTGACTCAGCTTTCAAACTTATAAGCGAGATTCAGGATATAGTCAGACCACTGCTATAGGTTTCGCATTGAAAGATCTCAAAGTTGAAAGATTCCTACAAATCTAAAAGTCCCCGCAAATAGTTGTTTTAGAACGCATCTGTAAAGACTGAGAAGAGAAATTTTCTTTATTTAAAATACAATGGTACATAGTGAAATATTATCAGAAGTATTCCACAAATGTTGCATGAAAAGATGACAAAAGTAATGTCGTTTCAAATAGATTTTATATACAAAAAAACATGCAAATTGGAAGCGAAAAAACTAAATAAACTGTAGAAACACTTTCCAGGAGTTGGAATTCATTTTTTGTCAACAATGTTTAGGGCTGGACCAGAGCGAATAAAAAATCAGAGATTATGAGATTGCTCATAGAATGAAACTTGACTGATTACTCAATTTAAATAAAGCTTAGAACAAGCAGCAAATAAGTACATGTTATGACATGAAATATGGAGGAACGAAAAACAGACTAAAAGAAAACATAGCAACAGAAGGGAAGAGAAGCAACTCAAGACGCTTGAAACAAAAGGAACTGTGGCAAGCAAAATACATATGATCATACATAACAGTGCGTTGTAATGTAACTTCATAAATTTTTCTGCAAGCAAATAGCTGGTAAAGTACGTTCACATTGAAGCTAGTACCATCAAAATTGGATGAAACTTCAACATACTGTTTCCCCTATGATAAACTGTGTGGTAAGCGACAAGAGTGAAGTTGTAAAATTGAGAAATTATTTACAAAAAACAATAAGTAGATTATGAGATGGACAAAAAATAACAACACAGGCAAAATATTATGCAGAAATACATCGATAAAGAAACAAAAGCAGCGTAAGTGAAAACTGCAAGAATCTCATCAAATAAAGAAAAATTGTATATATGAATAATATATAATAGTTCATAAAGTGAACTTTTCAGAAATTCAAATGAAATATCATTACTCGCAACCGATGTTGAAACATCATGATTTGCAACCGATGTTAACTCATGAAATACGGCATTTCTATTCCTGGCCATTGAAATCAAAAACTAAAAGTTCAATTTATTTTCAATAAAATAAACAAAGCAAGAAATGATTTCAAGACTTGTTACAGGTAGTTAAAATGTAGCTCGAATTATTTTACGCATCAAATATCAAAGTAGATGAAGAAAGTATAAAACTATATAGCAGTCTAAAAAAATAAAAAAATAAATCCATGAATATTATGATATCCACTATTAACTAGAATCAACCAATCAATGGTATTAAAAAAAAACACACACATTCGATATTTCATGCCAGTCCAATTTCACCACCACTTTCTTCCGCTACACTTTCAGCATCTAAAGCACTGGTACTGCTAATTAATCCAAATTTTCCAAAGACATTTGATGCCGTATCACCATTCTCACAAATCACTGACTTTGCTGAAATACGATACGATCAGCTTCATTAGTACTTACAGCCATGTTTGAACTGATTGCTTTCCCAGTTTAAAAAACATCAAAATGCTGTTAGCATTAAATGATGAAACAATACCTAGAATTCATTTTCATTTGAATATGTGTAAAATCGACTCAGGTTTTCAAATGGGTTATATCTACGGCAAAAAAATCAATTTACTTTGTTTCTTCATCATGTTTTAACAACATGCTGACATGAAGCAATCAGTGGCATAAACACATTATACAAATTATACTCTTTATTTCCAAAACTTTAAGCTTTATCACGAGTTTTAGCTCACTTCAAATATAAGAAATTACTGGCATTTGATTTTATTTGCGAGGAAAATAGGAAATTATGAATTCCATAACCTTTCTGCCACTCATTTGCTTCATCTTGTAAATTGAATAACATATCCCCATTTTCTGATATAAGCTGCTGTGCTTTTTCCGGTGGAACAGTGCTGCAACATGAATTTAATGAAACAAATTTATATGTGAACCGCAAATAATTTTAGCTATCTATATTAACACTAACATAGGCATCAAGCCACTAGATACTGCATCCATCGCTGATTTGATCTTCTCCGCAACATTCAGATATCCAAATGACATTGCATCGTCATAAGCAGTCCTATCCCACCTATAAAAACTTCGCAAACCTATTCCTTGGTCTGACTAATTAGAAATCTAATACAAAAATATTTTGAAAATGTTTATTTCCGAAACTATTCCAGTAAATGAATTCTGGCAAACATAAAGCAATGTAAAAAAACTGCAAGCCTGTTTTTCAAAACATATATTAATACTTGTCTCGTTCCATAACCAGAATAATAATTGAATGTATGCACTTTTCTAATCTTACAATTAAAGAAAATTAAACGAACCTGTCCCTCACGAGTGGATTTACATGAGCAATGTCGAGAAAGAATTCCACCACTTTTAACTGTCCTTCCGAAGCAGCCAGATGCAGCGGTGTACGACCATCATAATCTGACATATTCAAATTAACACCTCCCAAAAACATCCTGTAAAGCGATTTGCAAACTACCTTCATAGAGATTATTCTTACAATCGTAATAGTGTTTATAAAAAATTTGTACTCATGAAAAATTTTTACTTCTGAACTTTATTTTTCCAGGTTCTGATGCTACAATCAAAGAGAATGTACGTCTTTCAATTTGTTGAAGTTTTCGAAGGGTTATGCCGATGAACGACTCAAGTATATGATTCTAAAATAATCGCATATCTACTGATAATTTTTTGATTAAATCTGAATTTGCGTAAGAATTGCTCACCTCCTTTCCACTGTAATTATGATTTTCAAAGTTTTTTCTTTAAAGGAATTAGTAGAAAAATAAGTACCTTCGAATGCTATCAATATCACCTTTTTTGGTGGCAAACATCATTTGGATGATGAGTTCTGACTCACTTGGGACACCACGCTTTCTTGGATCAATCTTCTTAATATCCGCGTGAAGCAAGCTGTCGTAGTTGTGAAAATTGAAAATTTCGATCAACTTCTAAGATGGGAGCCGAACTTAGTTGAGATTTTCATATTCTTGCCTCTTAAATCTTTTTAAAATATATTTAACAGCTACATACATAAATATTTATAAACACCACCTTGCAAAAGGTTACGCCACGTACACTATTGCACATTCTATCAAGACGCGGTGACCAGATACAAATGCCCATCAAGTTTGGTACAACAACTACCATTGCTCCAGAGACACAAGATTTTGCGGGAAGACCGACCTAAATTATTCAGTTTATTAGTTAATTCGAAGGAAAATACTATTTTGGCAAGTCCGACTCAAACAACCTTTCTCAAATAAAAAACTAACTTTAAATGCAAATTGACCGCTATAGTCGTACATTCCACACGAATACATCAATGAAAGAACATCACGACATGGTCGAGGACTGATGCACGTCTCATTAGTTAACGGACAAACACCTAAGAATGAAGTTAATTAAATTTGTTTTTAAAGATATCTATAACTTTGTGGTATCCGATAATAATTTTTTCTCTCTAATGACCTTCCAAAGTTAATTTTGCTCAGACTCTAAAAATCAATTTTTGGTATATTTTTAAATACAGCATAGACTTGTAATAACAGTAACAAAGATATGTATCACTATTCAACGTAACCTCCATTAGCTAATGTTGCAGCCATAACTGCTGCACTTTCGCATGTCGTTTCCAATGAGCAAAGTTGGAAATAAAAATCCAGCTCATCTCGAAGTGAAACCATGCCAGGAAAACAATGATTTTCCTTCATATAATAAGATAACGCGTAGTTACGGTCCGCCGAATCACGCTCCGAAAGAAAACTGAAAGATATCGCTCTTGTGAATTTACTATGATTATATATAATGAGAAATAAAGATATTATAACACCGTCATGTGGGATTTATGAATGAGTAATTTATCCATATCCCATATCTTAACCAAAGAACACAAAAAAATTTAACAATGAAAAATCACGATGAGTCAGCTTGAAACTCACGTTGCATTATTGAATCCTATGTAACCACCTCCTGCTAATTCTTTGTAGCGAGTGAGCACCTGGAAGATATCAATCATTTCTATAAATTTAAAAGTTATCTAACCCACAGTATTAAATTAAAAGCTTCACTGAAAGTTCAAGATTGAAAATTTTGCACCGTGAATCAAAAGAAAAATTGCAAATAAAATTTAATGCTGCAAAATTTCAACACATCACAAATATTGATAAAACTAGCAACAAAAATTTACAAAATCATAGCGATCTGCCATCTTGTCACCCATTTTCATCAATGTTGTGACTATAATCGCTCCAGCATTGATCATAGGATTGTGGGGTTTGCCTATCAAAAACAGTTTAAACTTACTCAAAATACTTCAAAAAAAAAAAAAAAGAAATTTTCACAAAGCAGCAGGGACTTTATGCTACTTGAAAATATTTGATTTTCATCTTTAAGCGAACCTTAAGATCTAGAACATAAAATTTTTTGCAACAGCGGCTAAGATTTTAAATACGCATATTCCACAATTTCGATTTTAAATATTTAAAATTCTTACGATTACAATCCAGACATATTTCATTAAATAATCGCCCTGATGGTTCATGACCAACATATTCATGAACGTAATCTGCTCCCATATCAGACGCAAGTATTGCATAATTGAAAGCTGAAAAGCATAATTCAAGAGGCACTGTCAACGTGGTAATATTTACCAGTTATTCCTAAATTGAATTGGAGTCAGCCAAAATCATACGTTAGATGAGCTAATTAAATTAAAGTATTACCTTTCGATATAGACTGAAAACAAAACGGCACGCATGCATCTCCAAAACTGATACGCTGACCATCTATCGTACATATAGAGAGACCAAACTTGTCCGGATCAACTCTGGCTAGTTGAGGAATGTAATCTGCGACTTCGCCCTCTTCAATGGATGCACACTGGAAAAAGTAATACCTTTACTTCCATAAAGTACGTGAATATTTGTATGTGCGTCATAATGAAGCTTTAATCTTTCTACACTTACAACTTGTGAGCATTTAACTTTATAAAAATGTGTAGCAACAGTGAACGATAAGGTTGAATTTTTGACTTGCAGAGATTGTATTCAAAATTTTTCAACAATTCCTCAAAACTATAGTTAAGAAAAATTCTTGCAAATCACCTCATCAAAGATTTCTCGAATCTTTGCAGTAAATTCGCCCCAATTTGGAATGATCAAATCGTTGCGGAGCGTTTGGGCAATCAAATTGATGCTTGGCCGAATACACCTTCAATCCAAACAGTGAAATGCATTGTTATAATATTAAGAACTTTTAGATGAAATGAATTAGAGATGGTAGAGGAGAAAAAGGAACACATTTCCGAAAACAATGTAGAGATCAATGGAATTTGTATAGATCTCGTTTCACAATTATTATCTTAATTTTCAAATATTTGATCGAACAATTTATGACTAACTCTTTGAACTGCTCTTTGTTAAAGAAACGGTGCTTATATTCATTATCATCATCATCATCATCATCATCATTGTCATCGTTTTGTTGATCATAATGATACATTATTTTAATCGTCTGTTGCAATCGTGGGTCATCTCTCCGGATACCGAATGATCGTAATACCTGAAATTTAAAGCTGAAAAATTTTTGGAGACTTTGAAAATAAAAATAAAAATATAAACTAGAGAAGTCTTTAATTGACGAGATCGAAGTACCAACTACAGCGCGATGTCGAATAAAAAAACACTTTTAAAAATTTTATTAAAATGAATGAAACCTTACAGAAAGAAGTTTATGTAGAGAAGCATGGTCCGGTCTTTTGTGGCATTTGAAGAGATCGAAAGTGAGATCTTCCTGAGACGGATGAGAGAACTGATAAACATGCTTTAGTCCATTTGCAGTATCATTTAGCAGTCGAGTAACTGACACTTTTCGATTATTATTCAAAATCTTGCTTACGTTATCTACTGGAAAAACAAACAATCAATTTCTTGGAAACTGTTAAAAAATTTGACAAAAAAGAAAAGAAGAGTGAAAAGATGAATGTAAGGGATAGAGTGACATTACTGCAATGAAGAGGTATGAAAATAATGTATAGTGTACATCTATCATTCATATTTTATCTAAGAATAAAAGACGGCTAGCAGTCCCACCTCACAACAAGAAAAAATTTTTGTTTGGAAAGCACTAAAAAAATCGTCAAAGAACCAAAAACTTTTTGAAGATGCAAGAAAAAAAGAAACGCGTCATATGACACGAAATAAACCTAACAACACGGAAAAAAGCAAAAAAAAAGATGGAAATAAGATATAGTAACAAGTAGTAATACCAAAGAAATTACCAGCAGCAGAGGGGCACATGTACTCATTATTTCGCATTTCGTCAAAATCTTTACGTCGCTTCTCTTTGGGTAAGCGATACTGAAATCATCGAACACATTACTAAAAATAATATAGATATATAGAATAGCCATGATTCATTTATTACTACTATTTATTAAGCAATAATATATCTTTGGTACAAACATTTTGATATAGTTAGTAACACAAGAATATTCTTCATAGCTATAACTAAGATCGATCTGTGACTAAAAATAGCGAATCTATTCTAATACTGGGGAAGCATAGTCACGTATATAATATATACATAACTAACGTCAACACATGCATGCATACTCGGAACGACTTGAAAAGATAAGAAATGAGTGTTATGAAGACGTTGATGGGTTTGTTGCTGTGCTGCTGCGTCGTAACTAATGGAGAAGAATGAAGAAGAACGATGCAAAAAATATGGGACGGGTGTTCGCGATCCATTGCAACCAATGAAATACACTGTTTTATTCCTATGCTCTAATTTATTCTGTTCTTTTTGCTGCGATAAATTTAAGATAGTTAGCAGAACTTTGTTGGGAACGACAAGAATACTTCTATCAATGACTTTCAATTATTTTTCAGTACAACAAGTCATACAACAGATCATCAATCTCATACTTTTAGCTCATACTTACTCAAGTTCAGGTGATATGCGTGCAGAAGCGTTCCATATATTAAAAATACAACTGCATTATTAGTTTTCACGCTTAAGTATTATTTTACAAGAATTAGAGCGAAAGTAATGAAGGCTTGAAGTACTCACTTCAAAGCT